TTGTGTGTCTGTACCAAGGCCAAACATTCCAGGGTATGTAAACTTTTGAACATGGCAATTTGGGTGATTTCTGTTATCATTATGATTTCAAAAGGAGCCAAACAACTATTTGATAATAAATGGCTTCATATGATCATCATCCTTCAATAAAAGAACATTTTTTGGCATGATCAGTCATATTTTCAATATCAATGCCAAAATTTCACAGTTTCTGCCAGGGTATGTAAACTTTTGAGCACAACTGTAAATAATGTACAAATAAGGGTGTAAGTATCCCAAAGTAACTAATAATTTACTTTACATTGGAGCATTTAGAAGGACGAAAGATGGCCACTGATTTGCTGATTTGTGTTCTTTAAAGTGCAAAAATTAAGATTTGATTTGGTTTGGTAGAGGGTTGATCCTTCTATCTTCCCTAAATAAAGGACATTTGTCCACAACTGATACATTTGGAAACATTTTATACCATTTTAATTGAGCAGTTGAGAAAGGCACCCTCAGAAGACATGGTTTACAGGGTACATACTGCATATCTCAACCTCTATGCTCCAGGTGACTGGCCAGGTACTGCTGCCTGTTCTTCGTAAAGGGTTCACCCCTTTCCCTGCCTTACAGTTACATATGTGTGTACAATCAGACAGGACAGCACAAAAGAGTACATTGCCTGAATCATATGACTGGATAAATGCTGCTTGTACACATACTTAAAAACCTTGCACCTTTCTCTATCCCCAATTACATATTTCCAAGATTCCTTTTAATACAAGTTTGCACCCTAAACAGAGAGGGAGAAAATGCATTGATACACAGTAAAATGATTTTTGTATGCTAAAGTGTACCTGTCTGAAGTTATTTTTTTCCAACCTTGCTTTGAATAATAGCCACCAACAAAACCTAGCTAGTTTCCTGTTTTCTGGCTGTGATGATGCTGGTACAAGGTCCATTAGCACCCAAGTTGAAAAGGCCAACGTGTGCCCCTCTCCCATGAGCTGTGAACTACTTTGGCAGGATAGATTCAAGGCCCTTCCCTTTTTGTGCCCCCCTCCTGCTGAAGCCTCCAGGGCAGCTTTTTTTTTTTCTGCCTATCTCTTAGACCAACTGCGGCTGGACCTGCACTTTTTGGATGCAGTGGCTCTACAGAGGGATCCTGCAGTTCATAGTAAGCAAATCCTAACAAATACTGCAAACTTGAATTAAAGTACATTTCTAAAAACATCTGACTTATGGGATTGACCCTTTAAGGTGGAATCCTGATCACCTAGGATAAATCATAGTGAACACTCTATTCACCTACAAAATGTTTCTTTTTTGAAAACATACCAGAACCCAAAGATGCACAGCTGAATCGATAACCAGCTGTCAAATAAACGTCATGCACACTGCTGTATTAAATACTTCTATATTCGCTAAAAAAGCCCACCAGTAATTCAATTGCAGAGGCGCCTCTTGCGGTTGTTCAAAGGATAGGCATGAGCTTTCTACTTTAGTAAAACACCCAACTGCTTTATATCACTGAGTCAAATGCATTTTATGGCTTTAAACTACCACTTCCTCAGTCCAAACTGATAAAATTGGTGTATAGTATTAGCTGGTAGTGTGCTCCACTTGGGAAATATTCTTTATTGACCGCAAGGTTAAGTCTAGAGTTTGTGGCAGTGATATCATCTAGCCACTCGTGGCTATATAGTATGTGATCCATCTAGATGGATCACACCACATTGGGCACTTCTGCCATTCTAATGGGCAGGCTTTTTTTGCACTGACTCTTCCTATCAATTTCTTCACCCACCTGATAACTCCACAGAGCACCCAGGATGGGAATGCCTGAGGCACAGAGTAGTAAACACACTGACCCTGTATGGAGACAGGTTTCTTCACCCGCTTAATGGAAAGGCCCTGTGTTCCCCTCTTGCTGGCTGACAGCAGCCTCAACAGGTGTATGTCCATATTGACATTTTTTCCTTTTATAGTGGAAGCATTTTATCCTTGTTTCTGAATGAATCCACTACACTATAATTGTTCTCCCGCCTCGCTCTTTTTTCTTTTTCCAATCAGCACTCTGAGCTTTTCCAGAGACCCCTGGTCAACTCCTCAGGATCCATTGGTCTGCGATCTACAACCACACCCTAGATTCTATATACGCTGGTTCTCTCTGCCAGCAGATGGCAGAAAAAGTTCTCATTTTGGAGTATAATTATGTACATACAGTGAGGAACAGAAGTATTTGAACACAGGTGTCTTTAAAGAGCTCAGACAGGTAATACTAAGTTAGATTAATGAGTGGAGTAGAGGTGGACTTTTTAAAGGCACAGTAACAGGTCTTTGAGAGCCAGAATTCTTGCTGTTTCTTAGGTGTTCAAATACTCATGTTCAGCAGTGCAAGACAAATAAATTCTTTAAAAATCCTACAATGTGATTTCCTGATTTTTTTTAAATTCTGTCTCTCAGAGTGGGAATGCACCTACAATGTGAATTTCAGACCCCTCCATCATTTCTAAGTGGGTGAACTTGCAAAATCGCAGGGTGTTCAAATACTTCTGTTTCTCACTGTATATGAATGGGCCCTTGGAATAGCCAGTGGCTGTCAAAAGGAGTTTGGAACAGAGGTCCTAGAAGGTGCAGAGATCTTGGTGTTGGAATCCCAAGACAGCATCAACTGGAGGATGAAGCATTAGCTATTGCTATGACTTACAATTCACAACACATGCTGAGGACGTTCCGGTATGCAACGAAACACATTGATGTACCATGGCTATTGGAGTGTGACTCAACTGCAAAGATACGTGTATGTGAAGTTGGTCTGTTGGCATGCACTCTCCCACCTAATCTCTTGTTATCTGATAGCATTTACTTAGAGGGATCATTGAGCGGGATAAACCGAGGGTGAGAAGCGACATTTTACTATGCAACATTTAACTGTTGCCCATATTTTTGGGAAATTACATTGAATGGGCAGAGGTTTACTTTTGATTGACAGCACACAGCAGTGGGTAGATTTGTAAACTGCTATTGGACTGAATAGCTGCTAATGATCTGCCTATTGCCGCTCGCTGTCCTGATGAGGAAATAGTCTCCAAGTTCCCCATCAGGCTCCGCCCACCCCTAGTATAAAGCTCTTTGGCATGCGTCTGTAAGTGTGAAGGACGCAGTCACCGGGGTGGGAGTGAGTGCACTAAGGAAGGAGTATCCAGCATGGGCACTCCTTCCTCAGTGCAGGCACAGACTTGATTCAGGTGCAAGCACTGATGCTTTCTGTGCCTCAACTGAATTGTAAGGGGTGTCTATGACATCCTTTATGAATTATGTTGGCTTCTTACAGGCAAATCAGTGCTCTGTGATTCTAGATATTTTGTGGTGGATTAAGATTTTAAGTATTTGATAAGGATATGGATTGCTGAAAGATAGTTTATACAATATAATCCCTTTTATATCTAATTATTTGCTATTTTCATGTATATAGTAGTTGTGAAATCGATTGTGACAGCTGAAGAGCTGTTTAGGATCTTAGCATAACTAATTAGGCCCTCATAAGATCTATACAGCTACCCAAAAATTCATGTCACTGTGTATGAGGTCTGCAGACCCCTGATATGGGTCTTTCGGGAAAATGATGTCAATTGTCAATTTTAAGTTGTATGTAATGGGGAGGAAAGATAAATATAATTAGATTTTTCTATTAGGGCATGTATCATATAAATTAGTGTGTATAATAGTCCCCTATAGTCCTTTTTTGGATCATTATATACATTTGGGAAAACGCACCCGCCAATAGTGGCAGTGGAAGTGGCAAATGCAGGTTTTTATTTTTTTGCTGGTATATCACTTACCATGTGATTATAAACAGCAAAGGTGTGCAATACTGTTGTTATTTAAAACATCAATAGGTCCAGAAAACGTATCTCATTGTTACATTACTGGGGTGAGATAGCAATTATTCAAACAGGACAAGGGGACAGAGAAATGTATAACAGAGGAGAACTGGATTGTTCTCAAGGTTTAGTTACAGTTTCAATTAAAATTTCAGTGTGCTCATTCAGCTGATGGTATCAACTAATTTGATAGCATAGTTTCATATGTAAGTAGTTATGCGATTATTGATTATAACATGCAGCAGGGTCAGTGTAACCTTGTGGTGATTTAAATATAGCTCAGAGTGAAAACAAATGCTACATTCCCATTCATCAGCTGCCCCTATAAAGTAGAGGAAGGTGCTTTGTTCAGATCTGCCAAATCTAAATGCATGTACAGCATACTGGCACTGACCAGAGTTGCCAGTGTATCCTATTAATAAATTATCTATGAATTACATACACTGTGACTGATTAAATGCAGAGGCACCAACAACATTTGATTACTTAGAGGTGTCAGTAATGAAAGGGTTGATTTAGCAAATCCGGCATTAACATGTACTACCAGATCTAACATTTTCACTTCATTTGTAGCTATGAAGGCATTTGGTTGAAAGCCTATGGGGTTGCTATATTAAAGGCAATAGACTGTTCACTTGCTGGGGAAGTTGCGCCTTGCATGGAGAGGCTCTGCTGATGTCCAACACCCAACCATGTTTAACCACTAGCCTACCGGGCACTTCTACCCCCCTCCTGTCCAGGCCAGTTTTCAACTTTTAGCGCTGTCACACTTTGAATGACAATTGCGTGGTCATGCAACACTGTACCCATATGACATTTTTATCATTTTTTTGAGACAGATAGAGCTTTCTTTTGGTGGTATTTAATCACCTCTGGGTTTTTTATTTTTTGCTAAACAATCCAAAAATTACTGAAAATTTTGAAAGAAAACATGTTTTTCCTTAGTTTCTGTTATACAATTTTGTAAATACATGATTTTGCTCCTTCACTGATGTGCGCTAATGAGGTTGCAGTGATGGGCACTGATGAGGAGGCACTAGTAGGTGCCACTGATGGGCATTGACAGGCATCACTGATGGGCACTGAAAGGCAGCACTTATATATGGCACTGATAGGCGGCACTGACTGGCACTGATAGGCGGCATTGACTGGCACTGATAGGCGGCACTGACTGGCACTGTTAGGTGGCACTGATGGGCACTGTTAGGTGGCACTGACTGGCACTGTTAGGTGGCACTGATAGGCAGCACTGATGCAAACTGATAGGCAGCACTGACTGGCACTGATAGGCGGCACTGACTGGCACTGATAGGCAGCATTGACTGGCACTGATAGGTGGCACTGATTGGCAGCACTGATAGGTGGCACTGACTGGCATTGATAGGTGGCACTGAAAGGCAGCTCAGATGGGCACTGATATGTGGCACTGATGTGCACTGGTAGGCACTGATATGAGGCACTGATGGGCACTGGCAGGTGGCACTGATGAGCACTGACAGCTGGCATTGATGGGCACTGACAGGTGGCACTTCTGGGGCCACACTGATCATCAGGGCACACTGATCATCAGTGCCCATGTCCCCTTCGAGGAATGCCGATTACCGGCTCTCCTCTCGAGCTGTCAGCGTGACAGATCGTGAGGAGAGAAATGCCGATAACCGGCATTTCCCTATTTACACGTGATCAGCTGTGATTGGACACAGCTGATCACATGAACGGGCTGACATCTTCGACTCTTTCCATTGATCAGTGATCCGTTGTGTCCGAGGGACACAGCGCACCGCAGATCGCCGCGCTGCACGCTCCCGGAGGCACATATGCGCGGTTAGAGTGAGAGGATGTCATATAACGTCCTCCCAGAACGAGAGAACCGCCTTGCGCCCATCATTACCTTATATGGTGGGTGGGAGGCGGTTAAAGAGGTATTCCAGCTTGGACCACTGTGTAACTACAGTATGTACAGTTGCAAGAAAAAGTATGTGAACCCCTTGGGATTACGTGGAGTTTTGCATGAATTGGGCATAAAATGTGCTCTGAACAACATCTAAGTCACAACAATAGAAGAACACAGTCTGCTGAACATAATACTACACAAACATTAGATGTTGCCATGGTTTAATTGCACATAACATGTAAACATTCACAGTGCAGGGAGGAAAAAGTATGTGAACCTTTGGACTTAATAACTGGTTGACCCTCCTTTGGCAGCAATAACCTCAACCAAACGTTTCCTGTAGTTGCAGATCAGACCTGCACAATGATCTGGAGTCATTTTGGACCACTCCTCTTCACAAAACTGTTTCAGTGTAGCAATATTGTTGGGATGTCTGGTGTGAATCGCTCTCTTAAGGTCATGCCACAGCATTTCAATGGGGTTGAGGTCAGGACTCTGACTGGGCCACTCCAGAAGGCGTATTCTGTGCTGTTGCAGCCATTGTTTTGTTGAATTACTTGTATGCTTTGGGTCATTGTCCTGTTGCATCACCCATCCTCTGCGGAGCTTCAGTTGGCAGACAGATGGACGTACGTTTTCCTGCAAAATGTCTTGATAAACTCTGGAATTCATTTTCCCATCAATGACAACAATCCGTCCAGGCCCTGAGGCAGCAAAGCAGCCCCAAACCATGATGCTCCCTCCGCCATGTTTCACAGTGGGGATGAGGTTTTGATGTTGGTGTGCTGTGCCTTTTTTTCTCCACACATAGTGTTGTGTGTTCTTCCCAAACAACTCAATCTTGGTTTCATCTGTCCACAGTATATTCTGCCAGTAGTGCTGTGGAACATCCAGGTGCTCTTTTGCAAACTTCAAACGTGCTGCAATATTCTTTTTGGACAGCAATGGCTTCCTCCGTGGTGTCCTCCCATGTACTCCATTCTTGTTTAATGATTTCCTTATTGTAGATGTGTCAACAAAAATGTTAGCATGTGCCAGAGATTTCTGTAGGTCTTTAGCTGACACTCTGGGATTCTTCTTTACCTCATGCAGCATTCTGCGCTGTGCTCTTGCAGTCATTTTTACAGGACGACCACGCCTAGGGAGAGTAGCAACAGTGCTAAACTTTCTCCATTTGCAGACAGTCTGTCTTACCGTGGACACATGAACATCAAGGCTTTTGGAGATACTTTTGTAACCCTTTCCAGCTTCATGCAAGTCAACAATTCTTGATCGTAGGTCTTCTGAGAGCGCTTTTCTGTGAGGCATGGTTCACATCAGACAGTGCTTCTTGAAACCAGTAAACCCAAAACAGGTGTATGTTTTTTAAGGGCAGGACAGCTGTCAGCAACACATCCAATATCATCACACTGATTGGAGTCAAGGTTGGCTCACTCCTGGCTCCAATTAGCTCTGGGAGAAGTCATTAAGCTAGGGCCTCACATACTTTTTCCTCCCTGCACTGTGAATGTTTACATGTTATGTGCAATTAAACCAGGGCAACATCTAATGTTTGTGTAGTATTATGTTCAGCAGACTGTGTTCTTCTATTGTTGTGACTTAGATGACGTTCAGAGCACATTTTATGCCCAATTCATGCAAACCTCCACGTAATCCCAAGGGGTTCACATACTTTTTCTTGCAACTGTATATACCATACCTAACTGATACCCCAGGAAGCTACTCTAGTGATCTCCATTATCTTCTGAGTCCCATGTCAAGCAGCTTTCCCGTTGCATTCTGGATACAGGCGGATGGCCACTCGGTGCATGCCAATTAGAGAATGCTTTGCACTTTCTGAATGAATACAAAGTGTCCCCTGACTGGACAAATGGAGAATCAGGGCAGTGAAGCCACACTCCCCACTTTGCCAGAGAATGTTTTGCATTCATTCAGAAATGCAAAGCATTATCTAAAATGGCAGTAATGCAGAGTGGCCAATCTCCTGTGTTCAGAATGTAGAAAGGCAGCTGATTGGCCCTAGACCAGGAAGCAAGTGGAGATCACTGAAGTAGCGGTGTCTCCTTGATTTCCAGCTTTCAGGGACATTGGCCAGGTATGATGTATACAAGCTGGACCAATGTAACTATGGATAAAAAAATGATACACTGAATTCTTCTTTAAACCGCTTCTGCGCTGTCCTATAGCAGAAATACTGCTACAGGGCGGCAACAGGTGGGCAGAATCATGTACATATACGCCATTTGGGGCCTCAGTAGTCAATCAACGGGTCCCGGCCAGTGATTCCCTGCCGGCACCCGGAGATTTCAACGGGAAAGAGACCTGTATGTAAACAATACAGATCTCTCTCCTGTCAGCTCATGCACACTGCTTTGTATGGCTCTGTATAGAAGAGCCATACAAAGCAGTGTGCTTACAGTGAAACACACACACAGCCCCCATAGTAAAACAACACACAGCACACAGTTAAGCCTTTGATCGCCCCAGATGTTAACCCCTTTCTGCCCAGTGCCATTAGTACAGTGTCAGTGCTTTTTATTAGCACTGATCACTGTATTGGTGTCACTGGGGATGTCAGTGACACCAAGTCAGTTCCCCCCAGTGTCAGAATGCCCACCACAGTCCTGGTATAAGTCGCTGATTGCCGCCATTACTAGTAAAAAAAAAATTCCAGTATATATACTGCCATTTGTAAACGCTATAACTTTCTCGTAAACCATTTAATTTACACTTATTGGGATTTTTTTTACCAAAGACATGTAGCAGAATACATTTTGGCCTAAATTTATAAGGAAATTTGATCATTTAACATTTTTTTACTGGACATGTTTAATACCAAAAAAAGTCACAAATATCGTTTTTTTTTTCTCAAAATTGTCGGTCTTTTTTTGTTTATAGTGCAAAAAATAAAAGCTGCACAGATGATCAAATACCACTGAAAGAAAGCTCTATTCATGGGAAAAAAGGACGTAAGTTAAATTTGAGTGCAACATTGCATGACTGCTCAATTGTCAGTTAAAGTAATGCAGCGCCATATCGCAAAAAATGGCCTGGTCAGAAAGGGGGTAAATCAATCCTCTGGTAAAGCAAAAATGCAGGTTTTTTTTAAATTTTCCTTGCACATGATTGGGTATTCTTTTTAAAATTAAATGTCCCCACATTTACTAAGCTGTGAGGAAAATTCCTTTGCAAAATGCAGCTTCCCTTGCAATATGAGCAGCCTTTTTGCATTTAGTATATCAACTCCCCTTCCGTATCATCAGTTGAAAAAATCTGCATGAAGAATGTATATTCTCCGCATGTTTGTGCTCTTTAATCCAGAGGGTTCTATTCCCTTAAAACCTATGCTACTGACCTCAAATCAAACTTTACTCTAAAAATACAGTATGTCAGTATTGAGATTATAAAATTGTAAGTGCAGCAGGTCCAGGGCGGACTGACCATTCGAGCACTCGGGCACTGCCCGAGGGCCTGGGGTCAGTAGGGGTGCCCCATGCAATGCCCCTAGTACCTTTTATAGGCTTTTTGGGTGTGTTTTGAGTTTGGGCAAGGACACAGGGGCCCCATGATCCCCTATTGCCCGGGGGCCCCATGAGTTGTCAGTCCGCCCCTAAGCAGGTCATTATCCTGTGGAACTCCCTACCCCAATCTAACAACTGTATTTTTACCTTCTCCATCAGCTCATCCCCCCACAGTTATTACCTTTTGTAAAACCTGACCATCCCTTTTAGATTGTAATAATAATAATAATAATAATGGCTTTTATATTTAGTCTGTAAAGTAAGGTGCTATATAATTATGAGGAAACATTATTTTGTTGAAAAAACATTTGAAAAATAATAGCGCAAACAGTTGTGTTTGTCTTACCTTATATCAGTACCAGTGAATAAGGTGCCAGTTGTTATCCCTATATTATGGCCCAGGGGTGTAACTACAACGTACGTACTATGTAGCAAACTTTTGATGGTGCCCCCCTCTTTTTAGCAAGTTCCAGTGTCGACTGTGACTATATGTGTCATTAGTAATGGGCTACATGTTTGAGTCGAACATAAGTTCAACTTGAACATGGGCTGTTTATGTGTTTGTTGAACACACGAACGGCACAGGCGTTTGGCGGGCTGTTTGCCTGCCATGTCCCACAATGCACCACACCCTGGCCAATCACAGGGCTCTGTGTACCTTCAGCAGATCGGATCTGGTGTTCCAATGTGCGGTGTCATTATCCACTGGTGGATTGGTGAATTCTGACATGGAAGTGTGCTGCTTTTAATAAAGGTGTTTTTTGCTTGGTATTAACCTCAACGCCCTGCTTTTTGCTATTTCCTGCCCAGACCTCAAGGGAGCTGCAGAGGTGAACCATGTTCCATCCATTCATTCATCCATCCACCCTTCATTCATCTATCATCCATCCATCCCTTCATCCACTACTCTACCATCCATCTACTATTGCAGGAATTGCTGCTATACAACAGACTCTTAGTGTGTTTATCCATGGATTAATTGTTACACAGTACAGAGGAGCGCTGGATGTTCTGTGTAATTTTTACATATTTCTTTTCTTTTTATAGATATTCCCAGCTGCTACCTAGAATCAAGATTCTAATTGAAGAATCACTCTCCATCTAGGCCCAAATTCCTCCAATCTCTCGCATCCCTCTGTAGTCATCTAATGCAGCATGTTCTGAAAGTATAAAAACCGAACAAATTAGTAGTGAATACATTTCCCTACATCTTTTGCATATTCTCTTAATGAATTTATTGATATTCCTGTTCCCCACCCCGGAAAACCATCCCCTTTCCTATGGTGGACAGACCATAGTTTTCTTGAATCTACAGTGTCAAGAATACTAAAAATGATACGTTCTCCGGGAGTCCACTGTTGTGAGGAACATCATGATATAGCACTCTTGATGTTCCCCACCTACGCCCAACATTTTTCAAATTGAGGATTAAAACATGATTGAAATCATAACAAAAGTTAAATCTTTTGTCCCAAACTAATGCTAAAGATCCATGCACCAAATAAGCAATCTCTACTCTGCTATTAATTCTACTACATTCCACACCTACTACTATCAAACAATGGAACAGATGCCTCTCAGCAGGAATGGTACAGGAATGGCCCCATGCTCTATATCCACATAGCTACACATATCACATATATACCATATCTATATATGGTCTCCAAACTTTCTAAACAAATGGCCAGTTTATTTTCTACAGACATTTCGGGGGCCTGACTGTGGTCAGCGAGAGTGGAAATGTCCCTAGCATCAGTGAGTGTAAACATCATCACATTTGGTATTGGGGGAGGAATAGTGCCCCGCCTTTGGTGTTATTGGGAGGAATAGTGCCCCATTGTTGGTGTCAGTGGGAGGAATGGTGCCCATTGTTGATGTCAGTTGGCAGAATAGTGTCTCATGTTAACCCCAAAGGGCCGAATAAAGGGAAGCCCCTGGCTGTAGTTTGGAGACCAGTGCTCTAAATAATTACTAGCAGTTAAAGAAACCGGTAATGATAAAAATATATGATTTTGCTATTGCAGACCCATCTTTCTGAAAATGCCAGATGGCATGGCTGTCATGCTGTTTGACAGTTTCAATACTCTTTGAATCACTGACCTGTAAAAAGTGTGTAGATCACTAAAGGTCACCCTAATTTCATTGGCTGCATATTGTTCTGAACAGGTATTGAGACCAGTGACAACGATCAAACTAGCATTTTCAGTTCCACTATGACAGCCACATCCTTATCTCAGTATAGACTTTCCATTAATGGATCTCATTAAAACTCACCATCCTTTTTCTATTCCTCGGTTTCCATTTTCTTCTTCAGCTTTTTCCTTTTTTCACTCTCACCATTTTCCTCTTTTACTATCACATCTCTTTCTCACAAAAATGACTTGATATAACATTTTTTATGAGATAGTTTTATAAGTATTATCCTTACTTGTTATGTTCAGTTAGCTGAATCCTCAACCCCAACTCCTGGTGTAATCAGTTTGGGTATATTAGCTTTGGGAATTTCAAATTTATAAGAAACTTGTTGATCACCATACATTTTTATAAGTAATTGGCCGATAGTATTTCTTATATTTGTGGATTGATTTTGTATAATGCCCATGGTGCTAAGAGTCTAAACATTTTATTTTTTTTTTAAAACTACAAGTCAAAAGCTTTAAAATCACAGTGTCTAGCATACAGTAAACCCATTAGCTGAATTAATAAAATGTATTCTAATAATAGGACCAACAATAAAAATATTAAAAGAATTCATGACCATAGGTAGACCCTAAACTTTATACTCAAGGTTGACTAGAGCTGACCTCACATGTATCTAGGCATCTCTTGTGTTGGCTAATTTTGGAGGTCAGGTTAACAAAATACAATGACACAGTCACTCACCTCCTAGATCAGTTGTCCAGTGATCCTTTAGGTCAGCTTACGGCTGCCTGAAAATGATACTGGTGTCCCTTTGGTGATTCCTCGAGGTGAGTCCTATGGCTTTGTGTCATTAGTGTGATGCTTTAGCATTCTGTTAATGTTGGGTCTAACTGCGTTGAAAGAGGAGTATTCCAAAGCATACAATATCAGAGGTCAATACACTGAAAGTTACAAATTACATTGTTGACTCTAAAATAGTGGCAGATAAGAACCTTGATGATGGGGCAGATCTGTGGTACAAAGAACAATTTCTACAAGAGACTCTGCATGTATGCCACTTAGGATTCAAACGGGACAGGAAGATTTGGAGGCTGCCACCTCCATTTGCCTGCATATCTGCAGCAGATTTTCGTGCACTTTAAAGAGATTTTCTATCGCTTTCTGTAATATCTCCAGGACAGGACTTATGAATTTCCCAATGGGACACAACTCAAAAATAGATAAAAATTCCAAGGTGCATCCATGATTCAACATTCCATGATATAGCATTTATAAATTTATTTAATCTAAATTTACATAACTTTCACCAAAAATTGAGCTATTTTTCTAATTGTATCTTGTATGAAAAATGGGTGCAAGTTATTTGAATCTTAGATAAAGCCATTGATAAACAGACCCCTATGTGTTGGGGGATCTCATGTGTCTCTTTCTCCTAGATTGTAAGCTCCAAGGAGCAGGGCCCTCAAATCCCTCTTGAATTGAACTGTATTGAACTGTATTGTCTCCCGTTATATTGTAAAGCACTGAGCAAACTGTTGGTGCTATATAAATCTTGTGTAATAAATAATAATAATACACGAGCTGCAGAGCTTCTCAAGCATTTGAGATTTCGATCTCAAGTGTACCACACACATGCACCCTCTAGTGGTTTAAGTTTATACCTGTCCTTGGGTATTCCAGAGGCATGCACCTATGCCATCTATTAGTTTTTGTATTACTACTTGCTGGGAAATTCACAAGGCACATTAATAGATATAGGCTTTTAGTGCTACATACGAAATCGCTCCAGCAAGATGCCTGAGCAAAAACCTCTCTAGGAGACTATTCCCCAAGCTCTTGTTCCTGTGACCTTGCGCCTAATATTCTTTTTCAGCCTCACTGACAACTTATACTCACTGGCAACTTATCTAGCCTCTGACCACTGTTCCTGTCTGTTCTCTACACTTTTTAGAAAGTCCTTGTGTGCTATCTGCCCTG